GTGAAAAGTGGCATGGGTTGGCCTTTAAGGATTTGGGTGCTTTAGATAAAAATAACTTACACAGAAACAAACAGCTCTTCCTGTTCTACAGATAATTTTTAAGCTGTCAAAAGCAGGAGATACGATAGATATGCTACATCTTGGGTACCAATGCCTGCTTTCTGTCTTTACACTCTTTTTCCGTTGTATTTACACTTTCCTGCAATATAGCAAACCACCCTGTAAGCAACAAAGACATTTGTTTCCATAAACCTTCCCCACTGCCCTAAAGACCTTTCCAAGAAGTATTTCAGCATCATCCTGTAACAGTGATGCACCGATTCCCACTTTCAGGGTAAAACACTCTTATAAGTAATGCTGGTAAAAAGTAAAAGCAAGATCAAACCAACATTTCTCTGGGAAGGCAGTTACACATTACACAAAGGGGTATATGTTCAAATATATATGTATGTTTGAGTATATAAACGCTGCTTCTATACAACTCACAGCAACGTGCTTGGCTTCTCTTCACTGATAAAGACAATACTGTGAATCAGGAGCTCATCTCCTACCTGCCTTAAGGAGTTTAGATCTAAACTGAAGTCTCCCTCCACAGACACACGAATCCTATCAATTACAGTACCATGTGGGATAGCCAGGATAAATGCCGCAGCTCACAGCTGAGAAGGGAAACACACAAACAGAACTCCTTGAAGAGTGAAACTCTTGAGGCACTAAAAACCTTTTCATAAGACATCCAGTGTTTCCACTTCAAAGTAAAGAGATCAAACTGCTCCCTGTGTGCCGATCAGGGAAAAGGAATCCTAACAGAGCCAACAAGAACGTCCAAGACAGCCTAGATGATTTCCAGATCAGACCTGTGACAAACTGCAACCACTGTATTATTCCTGTTGTGTTACTGTCAGTGAAAACAGGCACACCAAATCCAAACTGCAGATTAAAACATTAAACACTGTTTGGTTTGGGGTTCTTTATTCATTTTAAGAGGTGCAGGTAAGGTGCCTATAACATACAGTGAATAATTTTTGGCTTGTGGTTAGGCAAGTCTTTTGAGACTTTATATACAATAAAATACTCTGACTAAAATCTGGAAAATTACCTCTTAAGGCTCTAGCTGTACGGCATCAATAGAAATGTGGTGCCAGCTAATGGCTGCAATAACTGTCTTCATCCCTAGAGAATAATGGATGGAGAATATATCAATATGAGGAGTGGAAGGGCCAGAGAAACTGAGCAGGCACTTGTTATCGGACACAAAGATAATGCCACATGCATGATGTTATCTGTGATAATCTTTACTTAGGGCCCAGGGGGTGGGAGGGATATTCTTACAGCGAAGAAAGTATCCATCAGGCCATATTCATAATCATCAGCGTTCCACGAAGTAAGCATTTTTGGAGAAGGGTTGAGGGAGCACTGATGTAACAGAAATCAATGAAATTCAGCTTTTCTGCATCTATTGTGTCAAGCAAAGTAGGGGGAAAAAAGCCTGTACATCACTTTCATTGCTGATTGTTCAGTCATATGAAGTAGTTGAAAAAGGCTCTGAAGGAAATCTTAAGTGAACCACAATAAAACCCTCAACTATTTCAAACTCTGTTTCAAATCCACACCTGGACATTCACAGCTACCAAAGGAAACACGTTTTTGAAGCAGCAAGTGAATTGTTTTTACTTTGGCCACGTGAGCGCTTAGAACAGTGCAGGATGTGAAATCACTGTTTGGCTTTATCTTCCCCTTGATGCGAGTCCTTTCTTAACGAAACAGCATTGGCTCCAAGCGTAGGGCCAGTAGAGAACAGAGTGAGAGCAACTGCCCTGAGCTCTTTGCAGACTGATGCTGTGCCTTTCCTTAGCAGGCATTTAAAACTACACTGAGAAGGTTATAGGACATCCTGGTCTTTTTCCCATAGTATCTACTGTATGTTTTTCCTGCAAGTTTAAGCACCTGCCTTAAATTCACACACCAAGACTGGAACACCTGTACACTGTAGGTTTTGCTACAAAAGGCTCAAATAAAATGTGCTGGCTTTCTGCCATTCAAGTCAAATGAGCACATTTCCATCTAATCACATGTAGGAAAAGGCAACATTAGTACTGTGTCAAATTTGCTCGAGAAAACTCAGGAAATGCAGGAGTTAAACATTCCAACAGCAGCACAAACTTGATCATGTTCTACATCCTGAATATTTTATGGTATATTTATTACAACAATATATTAAGCTACACATTGAACCACAAAAACAAAAACACAACTACTACTCACGTGCAACACAGCTGCATTAGCATTTCTGATGAACACCAAATCTCCCAAATCCTGACACTGTTTTGAATAGCAAATTCTGATTCAGTCTCTATGTATAAATAGGCAACAAAATGGACTAGAGCTTTTGATTACTTCTGTTTGCTTTTTAGCTGCCTCAGTGAGGTTCTGCCGCTCCACACCACTTGGTTGGTAGGGATGGAAGATGCGATTTCCACATCATCACCAAATCTCCTTGAAAAAGATTTTCCTTCCCTACAAAGTGGCTTACACAGTTAACAGAAACGCCTTCCAGGAGCCAGTGATCCTCAGTCAATATTTTTGACCTCTTATGCCACCACTTCTGACCAAAAGCAGTCACATAACACTCCTGAGAATCTCTTTCAGGGTGAAAAACTCTCTGGACAGGCAGTGACATTCTTACTGCCACTGTTCAGCTTAGGGGCACCAGGATGGGTCCAGACACGATGCTGCCTGACTGTCCTGCAGAGCAGGGATGCTCCAATAATGGAAACAAGGAGCCCTATCAGGCCTTTTGCCAAGCTTACTTTCCGGGATTTCTGCCTTTTAAACTGATTCTGCAATTTCTGCAATTTAAACTGATAATGCCCTTTCCCAAACCATACTTTAAAACAAGGCAGCAAAAGTTGCTGGCCAGTTTGCTGACTATCAAAAATCGATGCAGTTAACTAGGTAGCTCATTTACATCAAATTTCAAACACAGAGTAACTTAAGCTTTTAAAGATAAACTCTTAGGTCAAAGATTTCAGCATATATGAAACCTGAAAGCTTAGACAAAAGCTTTACTGCAGCCTTCAACATGCCAGGGCATAACACCTTCTTGATAGCATAAGCTATTAAGTGAAACAACTAAGCTTCAAAATCCTCATGACAGCTATTCACCAGCACAGGCCCAAGAAACTCATTCATCTAGGGAAAAAAAACCCACATCTTCATGCCCAGTCCCACCCCACAGGCAAGCTGGGGGGGTGACAGGGAAAGGGCTGTGGTGCAGCAGCTCTGACTGCTTGTCAGGTCCCACAGCTTTCCAGAATGCCCCAGTACAAAATGAGGGGTGTCTTTAACCCAGCTTTGGAACCCCAGAACTAGGAGAACACCCTGAGTTTCCCATATTTAAAGCGTAGCACAGCTGGAAAAATACACTGTGAAGAGCGACAAGTCAGGAGTTTGGATAGTCAAACAATTTGGGAAGTATCTCCAAAAGCTCTATTTTATCCTCTTTCAATTCCACTGCCGTTCCACAAAAATGCACTGCCAATCGCAGGTTACGATGAGGAACAGGACACTCCTGCTCCTCAGAATACAGCTCAGGGGATTTATGCTTAAAACCAAATTGCAGTATCTTTAGAAAAACCCAACAAAACAACCCCAACCAGTCACTGACATTAGAAAAGCACGAGAACTGCCAAATACACACTGCAGTCAGTCTTTTAGGTTGGTTTTCTATCTAAAATAAAGCAAGGCTTGTACCCTAATTCTCTCTGGTGGAATAAAAAGGAGGGAGGACACAAGTCTTTTCCCATTTGCCTTCCTTCACTGAACTCTGGCGGATTCCTAGTACCCTACAGCCATGTATAGGAAGAAACTGACACCTATTGGCAACTTTAATATTACTGCATAAAGCTGCTTCAAGCTGTTGTAAGAAACAGCTTCTTGTAACTAGATGTTTCATTAAAGATACAGATAATAGAGAAAGCCAACTTAGAACTTTTCCAGTTGCAACTGAAAATACATCCAGAAAGTTTAAGATTAAACAATAAGACTCTGATCTTTCTAAAGTAAACTATGATCCCTCCGTAATCTATAGATTTTAAGTGGCTATTCTAATCTATAAACAGAAACAACAGTCACTAACTGCTTGAAAAATAAACTACTCTTTTTTTGGGGGGGTGAATACTTCCTTGCTGTTCAGCACTACAACACACACTGTTCTTGGGAGCAGATAAATGACGTCCTAATCCTAACCAAATCCTGAGAGAGAGCAGAGCACAAGCAATAGAAAACATACCATTTTTCTCAACTAATGTATTGATTACTGTGTTACAGATGTTGAAGCAGCAAAGGGATATACAGGGTAGATAAACAGCTTTTGGTGAGAACCTTACCCACTACAATCAACCACCTCCTATTGAGGGGCAAGTCGAAGGGTACAGAGGAGAGCCTGAGCAAACAGTTGTTTCATGCTCAAGACACGTGAAAGCATCTGCAGGCAAACAGCTGTGTATAGTTTTTCTACTACAACACTTCACTGGTTTGCTTGAGCTTTGGGGCCTGCTAAAGCAAGGACGTGTTAAAAAATAACGTACCTGAGCCTAAGGAACAACACAAAAGGAAAAGCAGGCAGACTGCCACTGACGTGTTTTCTAACTGCTGCTCATGCACACAACCTGAAACTCAAAACCTGAGCATTTTGCATTTATTTGTGCAGACTGACCAGAAGAATTTTTCAGCTACCTATGGATGTCTGTGTAGGTGCTCTTCACACCAGCGAGAAGCTTGTTACAGCAATAATACATATGCAAAAGAGCCAAAGATTCACGAAGTAACATCTGGGAGGTTTCTGGGAGCGACAGATTTCCTGAAGCTCCAACTGGAGTCATGGGGACCTGCCCTGAGCATTCAGAAATCTTAAAAAAAGACAACTAAAATTTAAACCCCATCTGTTTTCTCTCACTCCATCCCAAGAGCAAAGAGACTGAACCCAATGAGATACGTACTTGTAACGAAGAATTTTTTGGTGAAAGTACAGCTGTCGAAGGCGGCGATTTTCTCTTGCAGGACTACAACAAGTATCCTGAAAACACAGAAATGGAATGTGCGCTTTAAACATTAAATGCATTGGGTTAAAGATTCAATATCTAAATGTAATTATTTCAAAAGCATCAATATAAATTCTACAGTGATAGACTGCCAGGTTACCAATACATGGCAGTTATTGAGAGTTCTCTCTCATCCCAACCACATAACCTTCATTTCAGGAAGTACACAGATCTGATACAGAACAACACAGCGTATTTATGATACACCTCCTGCAGTAAAAGGTCCATTAAACACAAAGAATGGGATTGCAAGGATCCTGAATTACTTTCGATGACTCAAATAACAATCAAATCAACAATCAGTAGAACACAAGCTAAGTTTGAAATAATCCCATTGCCATCTCACTGCAAATTTATTAAACCGCTTTATTTACTAAAAACAGGGTTTTTTTTTTCATACCAAGAATATATTTCAGGACACAAATACAGTGGAGAGAAGCAGAATTTGTGTCAATTAGCAAAAGTACAGGTGTATGTTTATGTATTCACTTGTACATGCACACGCTTTTGTTGCAAAATATCCATTCACTGCTTACAACAAAGAACATCAGCCACATGATAACTAAGCATGAAATGTTGTACTGTCTACACGAACAGAAGCCAAAGATGCAAATTTGAAAGGGAAGCATCTTGAAGGCTTTAGGACTAGAGTACATCTTCTCCTACATTGATGACTTCTCAAAACCAAGTTCTTAAACTCCTGAAATGAAAGAACACCTGGAAAGCTGACAAATACAGCGATAAAATCTACGAGCTAACTGGAACATTCAGCAATCTGACATAATTAAGAATCTGATTATTCTTTCATTGGGAAGAATACGAGACAGTATCTTTAAATCAGCTGGCAAGCTGGAGCATTATTAAATGCTGTTCTAATAGTTTTAATTGTAAATATATGATGTGGCAAAAAAGCTAATTGCATCTCTCAATGACTAAAATACACAGCTCATGCTTTATCTGAAAATGATGACTGTACACTACAGTATTAGAATAATCATCTTTAAAAAGATGAATCACATCAGTGTGAACACACACCTTACGAAGGGCACTGCTTATCTCCCAACAGTGTGAAAACCAGCTATTAACTTCTCTCCTTTCTTTTTTTTCCCCTCTTTTTACCTGTTCTGCCACATGAATACCTCCTTCTTATCCCATGAGAGCTCAGTACCTGCAAGACTCTTTGGTGAAGGAATACACTAAAATCAAATTATATACCCTTACCTTACCTGTTTTCAGATATATAAAGAAGTTTTAAGTCACAATTTCCACCTAGAAAACTCTACTAATGCTCCTCTGATAGGCATGACTGATCTACATGCCTAACAGATGATTTTGCTATTATTCTTGCTATTTGATTTTGTTATTATTTTTGCCAACACATTTACTAATAATGTAGATTGCATCTGTAGCTCCCCAGATGACCCCTGAAACCTCTTCAATAGGCTGGTCTAACACCAGACACTTTCTTTTTGTCTGCTACAGAAGCTGATTAAAGTAATAAGCACTGTTCTGTATGTTGAATTCTTTCAGGCCGCTCTGTTTATCAGTGCATCTCTATCTAGAAACAAGGAAGAAATACAAATTCTTGTAAGGAAAGTAGAAATCAAGGGATGTTTTTGGACAAAAGTCTTTCATGTTCACCAGTCTGCAGACTTCAAACAGGAAGCACATGTACACTTTCAGAGTGAGCAGCTTACTTGCCAAAAGAAGAGGGCAGAACATGCAACTCAACAAAAGGGATTCTGACGAGTTAAAACTCATACAAGAAATTAATGTAGGATTTCTTATCTGCTTGTAGCTCTCTCATTGAAAGAAGATGCTTCTCCACCCCTCATGATTTATAAGTCTCTATTATTAAGAAACTCTGCATGAACAAATTGATACTAGTTTTGGACAACCCAGTAGTTTTAGCTAAGTGACAGATCTTCCAATTGTTTAACTGCAGGAGAGAAAAAAGCCAAACCAAAATATATCAATTCTAACTTCTTCCTCAAGGCCAAAAAGCAAGTTAACCAATGAACAATGGGAAGAATGTGAATGCATGTGCACGTGGAATGTATATATAGAAACCTCAGGAATATTTGATAGCAATTAATTCCCAATCCTGTAAATGTTTTCTACTCTTTGAAGATGCACTGTCTTTCTGCATAAATGAAACCTACCAGTTGCATGATTCTAGACTTTAAATACATAAATAACTGACAGTTTTCCCTTCTTCTGCAACTCAAGTTTTATTTTAAATTCAAATTTTGGACTCCATTACTCTATAGTATGATTACTGCACCATAAGAACTGCACTTGGCCACATTTAATGAATTTTCAATCTGAAGTAGTGAGCTTTCCTTGGATAACAACAGGATCTGATCCTTTCCAGAAAAGCTGCTACCCTGGATACAGCTGTACAGCTTTGAAGTATTTCCATTTTTACCACTTAGGAAAAGAAACATTAGCACCTGGAAAGACTTTTTAGTTGGGAGAAACTCTGAATGGTGATTTGCCTTGACTGTTTTTACAATTGGATTTTTCTTCTGCAAGGAGGCCAGGCTGGAAAGATTTACTATCATCACGCTGTACACAAGGGAACTTTAAAGTTTTCAAGGGACAGTTACAGAGATAAGTACTGAACTCTGACAGCTTTTAAAGGAACCTATTCATGGCACATAACTCTCACTAACTCAACCACTTCCGTGAAACTGGTTTTTGATACAGCAATCATACCCACATCCTGCAATAAGCAGACTGACAGGGATAACAAAAACTCCTATCCTTTACTTCTTTAAACATTCACACCATCAAAATATCCTCTTCGTTACTATGTAAGTTGTGGTATTAAAGGTGTTTGTTCAACAGTAATACTTTTCTCCTATAACTCCTACTTGACCCAATGTAGTCGTTAATGTTTAGATTTTGATGATACAATCCCAGACTGCTTTGTGTTGGAAGGCACCTTAAAGCTCATCCAGTTCCAACCCTCTGCCATGGGCAGGAACACCATCCACTACAGCAGGTTGCCCCATCCAACCTGGCCTTCAACACAATGGTAGCCAAATGTCTGTTTAACAAAACTCTTGTGGCTTCCAGGGTTGTTTTTTTGTTTTGGAGGTTTTTATGTTTGGCTTTTGGGGTTTTTTTTTGTTTGTCTTCAGCAGTGCTAACTCCCCTTAGCTGCACGAGTTCAATACATGCTCATACTCTTTTGGTCTTCACATACACAAGCACACTACCTGCTGCCATACAAAAAACCCAGGCACATAAAACATATCATTCTGATTGCAGATGAAAAATCTTTTGAGCTTCTTAAATGAAAGCCACTGGAGAAGCATACAGCTGTATTCAAACTGAAATATTACCTGAGAAACGGAGAACAAAAGCTGTGCTTAAAGGACAGTTAAAATAATAACAAGTCATGGAACACACACACCAGAACTTGTATTCATGCTGACATCTTCCATGGCCTAACACAGGAAGAATGTAGAGTAAGCATCCTTACCTTTTATTGCAATGCAGATCGTAAATAGGAGTTTTGAACTGTATGGACTTGACCATCTCTCCTGTCCGCAAAGAATAAAGGTCCACACAGCAGTAAGGTGGGCTTGTGCTGAAACAAAGAAACAAGATTTTCATGGAAAGAAGGATGTTTTGTAAAATTCTTTTTAAATTATTTCAGCCTCCCTACATTATTTAGCACACGACACAAGAATCCAACAATCTGAGCAGCACGAAGGGCCAATACAAGGCTTCCACATGAAGGTATGATTAAAACTCAACTGATACCAACAATGGTCAAGAACCTGTATTGTGCAAGTAATCATCAAGCCCTTGGTTTCCTTTGTTACAAGTAAGACTTTGCAACAGCAGAACCGATGAGCAATATCCAAGCCAGTAGACAGGCATGAAGTTTTAGACTACATTCTAGTTATTTAAAAAGTACTGCACAGAGTAACACTCTCTTAAGGGAGTACTTACTTCATTCTGTGCAACAGCTGAATCCTGTGCCTTGACTTCATAGAGACACATTACACAGAATTTACATTACATTGCTGACGGACTTTTGTTTGAATTAATAGATCTTTTCAACTACTTTGTGTCACTTTTATCATTGCAATATAAATAAAAGTAAGGCCATTTCTTAATAAAAAGGCTTGCTTTCTTTTGAGAGGGAGAAAGTGCTGAGTGTTCCGATAGGGCTGAGGAAGGTAGTGGTGGAAACCATTTTACAAGCTGAGGAGAGGCTTTGATGTGGCAGTTCTTTTCCATAACACCTTTTTCCCCCTCCAAGAACGCATTAAAACGTTGGCTACTTCTAGGTCAACGAATACGAAGGAGCACAAATTGCCAGCTGCACAAACATATAGTAAGTATTGGTAAAAGAGGGTGTTTCCCCTTGTGCATATCTGTTTTACTTTACAGAGTTTAACACAATTCCTGACAGAACACTTCCTTGTCTTTTGGATCTGCTCAAGCTGCTCGAGAAATTTTGGGAGAACTGGAGTGCAAATGCCAAGTGTTTACCTCAAATGCCTCAAGATGATGGCACATACAATAAGGATGCAGCAGAGAAACAATACACAATACATGCACAGAAAGACAATAGTCAAAGAAATGACAGAAAAAGTAAGTTTTGACACTCTGCCTATTGAAATTCTTCCCAAAAGAGACATTTTTTCTAGGCACATACCTAGGCTAATAACTAGAGGGTGCTATTTATTACTTTCAAGCACTTCAAAGGCCCTTCAAAAACACTTTTACAACAGCAAGACTCAAGTCGAGTCACTTCACATTAGAAGCTCACTGCTGCTAGAAAACACAGAAAACCCCAGCTAAGGCTACGTATAAACTTTTCTTGATTTAAGTACATTTATCGCCTACAGGAAATTATTACTTTGATAAAATGGGTACAGAGATTCTTTTTTCAAAACAGAAATCACAGAAGTAGATATAGCTAAGATTATATTAGCATAATTGATAGTGATTACTATTTCCATAGAAGCCTGTGTTGAGCAGTTCCATTTTTGACTTGACATACAGCTAACTACACAACTTGTGCATACTTTCTAAAACGTACTGCACCAACAAAATTATGGGTAATAATCCTGTCACTCAAATAATTTTTGTCATACCCTTCTTCTGGCTGATCATGGTAATGCTTTTTAGTAACCACACTGGCTAACACCCTGTAACTTGAGTTCAAGTGCTATTAATCAAGTAGCAGTATGGTACTAGGTCGGAAGTACTCCAAAATGCTACCCAGCTCTAATTCAAAAGTCCTCTCTCCAAATTTCTTTCAATCATCTTTCTTTTGATTCCATGGTATTCTGCAATCCAGGAGCAGAAAATAGTACGTATGTTTGGGGTTTTCTGCAATAAATACAAAGACAAGGTCAAATATATTTGAGGATGTTCCTAAGACCTCATCAGCAGAAACAATACATTAGACATTTCCTGGCTACTGCCATTTGTCTGTCCATTTGTAGCCCTTCCTTGTTCCGTAACGTCTGCGCTGGTGGCACGCTCAGCATTATCACAAGGCTTCAGTTAGCAGATGATGCATTCCTGGGAAAGTTCCATTTTTTGGCTAAGCACTTTATCCACCAACTATGACACAAAAAGCACAGAATCACAGAATGGTTTGGGTTGGAAAGGACCTTAAGATCATCCTAGTTCCAACCCCCCTGCCATGGGCAGGGACACCACACACTAGCCCATGGCACCTAAGACTCTGTCCTACCTGCAAGCACTTCCTCAGACTTTGGGAATCTTTTCAAAGGTGGAAAGGTAGAAAAATAAACTTTCAATGGCTACAAAAGATTTCTCTCTTTAACATTTCCTTCTGGTTACTTTAGTTTCCCACTGTCATGGGTTCAGCAGTAGCAGTCAACCCATCTGGGCTGCTGCACTGTGGTGTGTGGGGCGATACAGCGGAAGAAGTCCCGATGTATACCAAGAAGGGGAAAAATGACTGCTACTGCTGAACCCATGACACCCACCCTGTTCAAACTAATGGCTGATACAAACCTCATTTGCAACTGAGCACTCTCAGCTCATTAGACACAACGTTCATTAAATTGGAATTTATAAATTCCACACCACAAGCTGTGTACCTAAATGAGTAACAATACAATGCTGACATCCACAATGGCATGTTCGTTTTTGATCAGCTCTCAGTAACAACTCAGGAACACGGTTTCAGCTTGCTGGAGGGGCAGAGGGAATAAGAATAAAGGATTTTCATTTCACTGCTCAACAGAGGCCCATACAGCAAGGATACTCCCAACACTGCAAGATTCATTTCTTTTCCAAAGACATTATTTCTCAACCATTCTAAGAGTATGAGCCTTTTGAATGGGCTTTCTCTACCCTCCTTTACATCTCCTCAGCTAGCAACAAGATCAATTCTTCTGGAACAAAATGAGGTTTACAGACATAGATCTCAGGATAAATTTCTCTGCCATAGCACTTAAATAATAATAATAGTACCTTAATTAGTCTACACTGTTCAAGAGCAGTAATAAGCACTATCTTTCCCTCCTCCATTTCAGTGATGTCCAAAGCTCAGGCGCAGTGGTTCCGTGTACTTTCCTTACCCAGCCTCTGATACGCAATGGATTCTACTTTGACCCATTTTAGCCTATTAAAGCAACCGAAAAGACAAAGGGTTATTACCCTTTGTCCCTTATCTCTCTTCCAGAGGGAATTCTCCTCCCCCCCCAGTTAGTTCACTGAAAGGGCTCAATGAAAGGTCTAAGTGCAGAGGCAAGATAGGAAGTAGAAGCACATGAACTGAGCAATGAAAGATGTGCAACAGGGCTACCCCCACAGACCTGCTGCACACTGCAGCTTCTTCTGACACTTTACGACCTCCACTGAACTACTAACTCCTAATCCTCTTAAAAACAGGGAATCCAGGGAGTTCCATGGCCCACACTGCAGAGGAAATGGGACACAAATACAACATTCCCTTTACATTCTTGAACTTAAAAAACTAGACTGAGTCCTGGATATAACTTTTGATGCTAGACAGCTCAACTCCTTTTCACTCATTAAGAAGAATTTAAACCCAAAACCACCAAGATCAAAAGCAGCGTTCCCCTTCTTCTATAACATTCATACCACATACATTATTTCATTATTCTCCTATGTTACCATACAGCAGGACAATTTACACTAAGCAAAATGCCCCATTTAAATATACAAAAGTTGCTGTGTTCAGGAAGACAAAGCATCATTATTGATAAACATCGTGGAGCCCTTTGCAGGGTCCCTAGAAAGTTGACTTAGGCATAATGCTTTGGTCTTAACAATCTTCCTCACTGAATTATCGAACAAACCTACAATCAAATGTTAAATATTAAAAAGGACATGGCCTATGAGAATGAAAAATCATAACCCACTTAGAATCAAAAAACCACTCACATTTCAGCTGCAAACCCAGCAGTACGGGAACTACAACAGAACACCACCAAAACCACCACTGATTGCAAGATGAAGCCCCACAAACTTGCAAAAGCCTCTCCTGACAATGGGAAGTTCTCAAAACCTTTGAATTGCACGAAATTCACATTACTGCATCTTACTCTATTTCAGGAATAGTCATGAATAATCATTTCATCAGATAATCACAGAGACGGTGTAAGTAAATGTGACTGAAATACAGTAGCTGGAGACATATCTTAGCCTATGCTAACTGCCATCATTTGGAAGAAGATGAAGCAAAGAGACTTCTAGCTAAGAAGCTTTTCTTCTGATGATCTGCAGGACTAAAGGTTCACTAAAGGTCTTGCTGGTGAGAAGGACTCCGATCGTATCTCAGTGTACCAGTGATGATTATGCAAAAGAGAGAAATTAAGAGAGGAATGTGAAAACACTGAGGTTTGTGGCCTGATAATAATGTTAAGTCTGTCACAAATAAAATTCTTTCCAGTTACTTCCTCAGATTATTGACTATTTTTATGTAGCCTAGTTGTTAAATGCAGAGTTATCAACAACTTCCTTAAAGGTAATGGACACAAATTCACCAATGACTTCAAAATGTGGGCACTGATAAATATCCAAACACACTCAGGTTCTTGTATCTTGTACTTGACTGCTGCAGTGCAGGGACAGAAGAAAAGTAACAGATGCCTTGTACAGCAGGCACTTGCCTACATCTGGGCTTGTGCACCATGACATAACTATCACCTCTTCGCAGATTTGCTCGCTATGAGGCACAGAGTTTATAAAAGCTTGGTATAAAATGTTTGCATACAGAGACAAATATACTGCACAAAACACACACGCTTCTTACACGGAAGAAAAGGAGAAGACTGATGGACCAACACGAGCCCAAAACTTCCTGTGCCTAGAAAGACTTTACTCAGGCTGCTCACAAGTGTTTTCCTTCCTCCCGGCTGCCTCTCCCCACTCTGGCATGTGATGAACAATATCCCACGCAAAGAGAGAACGGACATCAATCACAGAGCAGCCTCATGAGTCCAGAAAGGAAGAAAAAACAAAGTCTGAGAGGCATAAAATAGAAATAGAGCTTTTGCTGTAAAAGGGGATCACCAGGGCCTGTACAAGGCTTTCTTTACATGAGGCATCTTCCAGTTAATTGTGGCA